CGATTGATTTGATTGATCCCTTCTATGATGTTTACGCCCAGTCGGTTCGGTATCTGTTCCAGCATCCAAAAGGAAGCATTTGGATATGACTTCACCGGACAAAGGACAGGACTGGTCCAAACTCGTGGAGGAATGTTCCCAACCCGGGGTGCCTGCTTATGTCAGGCTGATTCTAAATCTACTACTGGACACGAAGGAGCAAATGGATGCGATGAGAAAATGGTGCGCTGCTTTCATGGAAGAAAATGATAAACTCAAGGCGGAAAATGAAAAGTTGAAAAAAATCATAGAGGAAAAAGATTCTCAGATTAGGTCAAATTTGTCTAAGGCTCCTGTCTCTGATCCCGCTTTGTCTGTTTCTGAGAGTGATGTAGAAAAGAAAAGGTCAATTGTAATTGCTGGACTTCCTGAACTCATTTCTACTTCGTCAATTGACAAGGCAAATCATGATTTCCAATCAGTTAATTCTGTTTTGAACTTTTTGAATATTGAATGCGTGCCTTGTACGGTGTATCGTATGGGCAAACCCACTTCTGATCATCCTCGTCTCATTAAAGCTGTTCTACCTACTTCAAGATTTCAACAATTGGCTATTAAACGTGCTCCTCGTTTGCGTTCATATATAACTAAGGGTGTCTTTGTACGCCCATCACTGTCTAGGGAGGAGAGAGCGCGTCTACGTGAATCACGCCTTGCTAAGTAAGCCTAATGGAATTGTGAATTCATTGAATTCGGATCACAATGGTACTGTTGTTTCCTCTAATGATACTCAAATTGCTGTTACTGATGTTGTTTCTGTTAATGCCGTTTCGGAAAACCTCTGAACGCTCTGCGGTGTTCTCAGCTGTTGCTGAATTGTTTTTTGTCTAATATTAGATCACTGGTTAAAAATGCTGATTCTTTAGTAGCATTCATGTGTAAAGAGACTTTCGACCTTGCGGTGTTGAGCGAGACATGGTTAAATACTAAAATCGATGCAAGTCCTTTGCTGGACGTTTTAGCAACACGCTATATGGTATTCAGATGCGACAGGTTATAACAAGAAAGGAGGTGGTGTTGCAATTATAGTGAAAGATCTCATCCCGTAAGTGTGACTTTTTCTGAATCTGTAAAGGATGCCTATGAAGTGTTGGCATGTGATATTTGGTTTTACTCGTTGCAACTTAGAGTTATAGCAGTCTATAGGGCTCCGTCATGTTCTTCTGGAAAAACTGATCAACTTGTCAAAGCCATCAGTGATTTGTGTACGTGTGACTATAGCTGTATCGTTGCTGGGGATTTTAATGTTAATCATAGTTTCGTTGTCCAAGATTCTCAAGGTGACGCTATTGTGGCAAAATTCGCGAATTTATTCAGAACCATGGATTGATCCAAAAAGTCTCTTTCCCTACTAGACATAATTCGGTGCTGGATTTGCTTTTGTGCAATGATCGTTCTCTTATTCGAGATGTTCGCAAGTCCCCACCTCTAGGTAATAGTGATCATTGTGTTGTTAAATTTTGTATGTCCTCTAATGGGATAATGGAAAAATTACACTTGGCGGTAGAGATTTCAAAAACGCTAATTTCAATGCTATGAGGGCTTACTTGAGGAATATTGACTGGTTTGGTTCTTTTAATACTGTCTCAGGAGTAAATGAAAAATATGACATGTTCGTGAGTATACTTCACCATGCTATGGACATGTTTATTCCTTACCGACTCAGTCCACAGAGATCCAAACTTATTCTGCCTGGCTATTTAACTTCTATGGAGAAAGCTAGGGAAAGACTTTGGAATAAGGCGGTTTTCTCTCAGTCTTCGGTTGATTGGGCAGCTTTTCAGGCTTTCAACAGAAAGTGGACCACAAAGCTTGCTAAGTATAAAGCATATGTAGAGAAGAAAAAGTTGACCAAGGGAGGTTTAAAGGCGTTGTATTCTCTCTTGAAAGATCGGCTCACTGAGAAACAAAATGTCGGGATTTTAATGAATGATAATTCCCAAAGGGCGATAAGGGATTATGATAAGGCGAACGTGCTAGCAGATGCTTTTGAAAAAGCGTTTCTTTTGACTTCGGACTCAGCTCATAACATTGGTTCTTCTAAGGTGGAATCCGATGACTCTGCGCCTTGGTTTGATAAAAACACTATTGTTGAAGTCCTGGAGAAATGGTCATCAGCGGCCGCGATCAATAGTGAAGATATTCCATTTGTAGTTGTAAAAAATTGCATCTATGAAATTCAGTGGGCCCCTTCGAGTTTCTGTTCAACTTGAGTCTTCATGCGCGGGGAAGTTCCCTGTAAATGGAAACACGCTATAGTTTTACCGCTTCCTAAGAAATCGCCTTACTCGGATCCATACAATTATAGGCCTGTTAGTTTAACTTCCATTTTTGCTAGGGTATTCGAAAAAGTGATCAAAAAGTATCTGGTATCACATTTAGAGAAACACAGTATTATTCCCCCTTCGCATCATGGTTTTTGTTCAGGTAGATCTGTGGAAACTTCGGTATTACATTGTATGAATGCTTGGACAAAGGCGATGGAAGCTAGAGAAAATGTTGATGTAGTCTATCTAGACTTTAGTAAAGCATTCGATAGGCTGTCACACAAGGTATTGATTCGCAAGCTAAACCATATTGGTGTTCACCGACTAATATTAAATTGGATTGAAGATTTTCTCAAGAACAGAACGTTTCAAGTTTTGGTAGGCGATGCATTGTCGACTGTTCGAGTGGCATGCAGCGGTGTGCCTCAGGGTGGAGTATTGTCTCCGGTATTATTCAACATCTTCACTGCTGACCTCCCTCACATTTTCCAGGATATTGGTGTATCTTGCAACATCTATGCGGACGACATTAAGTTGTACAAAGTTGTAGAAGACAAGTATAATGATGCATTACTGCAATTGGCTATGGACAGGACTGCGAGCTGGGTTAAAGAAAACGGCCTTACGCTATCTATTGAAAAAACTCAGGTCATGCGGATAGGTGCACATATATATGAACCTGCCTATACAGTGGATAACGTTGTCCTCAAACATGTATCTGAAGTTCGCGACTTGGGTTTTCACTATGACTACAAGTTGAACTTCAGTAAGCATTACAAATCATTGGTGGCTAAAGGTCTCAGAAGGACTTTTAATCTATTTAAAGCCCTACGGACAAAAGATCCATGTACTTTGCTGCGTGCATATAAAATTTACGTAAGGCCTATTGTAGAGTGTGGAACTACGGTATTCAATCCGCATTTGAAAAGGGATATACAAGCTCTTCGAAAGTGTTCAAAACAACTTCACTCGAAAAGCTAATGATTAGGTGTACGGGTTTGAATTATTCCACCATACCAAGAGGGCCACTTAGGAATGTTGAATATGGTTTAAAGTCGTTGGAATGGAGAAGATTAAGGTATGACTTGCTCATGACTTTCAAAATTCTAAGGAGCCTTGTTAACCTGGACGCATCTGACTTTTTCCAAGTGCTGCCGTGCAGCAGAAGAGGTGCATCGATTAGGCTGACAACGTCTTTTGCTAGAAACCGATGCAGGTCGAACTTCTTTAGCAATAGAGTGCGTTCTTATTTTAATCGTATTTTACGCTCCAATTTGTTCTCTTTGAAATATGTTACGTTTAAGAAAAGCATTGGTGAGATGATTTGAGTTGAGGCGGTTTTTGTTGCTTGGTTGTTGTTTCTGCTACTGTCTTTATTTGAGTTGTTCCGTTACATGTGTATGTTGCACATGTCAATAAAATAAAATAAGTCATTGCGGCAAGCAGTGGAAGCTGCCAACTCAGCTCTTACGCTTCTTTGCTCACTGCCTAGGACCGGTTGTTTATAAAACTA